TTCTTTCTTTCCTTCTTTCCTTCTTTCCTTCTTTCCTTCTTTCCTTCTTTCCTTCTTTCCTTCTTTCCTTCTTTCCTTCTTTCTTTCCTTCGTTAGTTCTTTTCTCTGTTATTTTGGCTGAGTACTTTATTTTCTCTCCTCACCATCAATTGATTCTGCTATGAGACAGAAGCTGTGAGACTGAACTGCAAGGAGACTTTTGCTGAAATTAAGAGATAGTGTTGTGCAGAAAAAGCAGAAGTGTGTGAAAATTGTATGTGCAAGATGGGATGAAGTTTTCTCAATTACTTGATTCTTTCTTTGTAGTGAGAAAACCCAACCTATTCCCCTGTTTGCAAGAGGATCATAGTAGATGTCATTGTGGACAAAGAAAAATGTGTGTGTGTATGTTTGTGTGTGTGAAAGAAATCCAGAAAATTGGGGCCACATATTAATGCTCTTCCATTTAACTTAGATCTTACTTCCTTTCACTTTGTACAATAAATTTCTAAACAACACCAAACATTTTAGCAAAGAGAACAACATACCTTCGGGGGCCATTTGGGAGCAAAAGGTGAGTCAGAATTCCAGTTGCACTTTTTCATCCATGTTCCACAGCATCTGGCTTTGGGAGACAGGCTGCTTCAGATCTTGAGGAAAATAATCACCCCGATGAACAGACCCTGAGAAACATCCAGGAGCCAGAAAATCATAAGACAAAGCAGAGCCAAGAGAATTCAGATGTGATGGACGGGCCTTTCACATATAATTATGGATTGGTGTGCTGTTGGGGAAGAGCATGGGGGACATTGAGTGAGGCTAGGTTTGGAAGGAAATTTCTGAGCCAGAGACGCAGATTTTGTCTTAACCCCTGATTCATAATGCAAGCCTTGTTCTGAACAAACTGATTGTATGGATACGGGCCAGTTTGGGCTGAAAATAGGAGCAGCAGAACATCAAGGTGGCAGAGTAGCTAAGACATACTCCTTAAATCCATCCTTTTTCCACTGCTTTAGACAATATATGGCATCTGTTGGAAGAATGCAGAGTAATGCGGTAGTTGACTGTTGCCCCAGAAATCTGATGTACAAACAGTGGATTTTGGAGACACCTGCTGAATATTGATACACAGAACCATTGCTCAATCTATGTATCTTAAAATAATGCAAATATTGCAAACTTCTTGCAAGCTTCCTTTGACCCCGTTCCCAAGAAAAGCTGGATGAGTGCTGCATCCTTCTATTTATTCACTAGAGAACTGAGGCATTTGCAACAATATTATTTCACACTGGATATTATGCAAACGATAACAATATCATTATTGGGGTGTTCAGACGTCCCTGCTGCTACTGTACTTGGGTTGGCAAAATGGGCTGTTCCTGGCTACTGAACGGATCTTCATTTGAACTTCTCACAACCCACCGAATCATCAGCTTAACCACATGGGCTGCATTCCCAGAACACTGAGGCACAGAAAAATGAAACAAAGTTAAAATTAACCAACCTAGCACGTTGCACGAACGCAACTATGAGAATCTTGTATGTGTTGCACCAGTTGAGACAATGGGTATCTACAAACTTACCCTTTTAATTCATTTCAGTTTCTTGACTTGTTCCAGATACGGACGCTCAGCCTAAAGACGGAAACGAACTTCTCCCAGGGTTAATTCTGAAAACTATGTCCGTTCCACAGAAATCATATTCTGCCCGAAGATTCATATGCAAGCTGCAAAAACTGATTCTACTGGTCTGTTCAGGTTCCACCAAATCATTTGTCCGTGGAGCCACCTGAGCACATGAGGGACTCTAAGTCCAAGTAGCACCAATTATCCAAGCAAACTAAGTTCAGTTAAAGAAGCATTTTCTGACCACCCGGGCTCAGTAGCTGTAAATAAAGAGAAGCAAAGGCTTTGCACTGCCGTGTATTTCTGCTACAGGGAAATCAGTTAGCTATTCAATATGCATGCAGGGGGTTTCCAGAAGTAAAACACTTATAGTAGCTCTGCTTTGAGAACTACCAGTAGTTCTGTTCCTCCCTGAGATGCTCGTAGTGATGTGCTACCAGAGAGAAAATGAAATGGCTGACAAGACACAGATTTTTTTCTTTCTCATCACATCGTTAAGAAATAACGGGCATGTGGTTTTTTTTTTTCCTGTGAGAATAAAACAGAAGAAAGTGGAAGGTGTGGTACAGAAGACAGACGGCAGAATTCTTAGTTCCTCAAAATACAGGTAGTCCCCAGTTTAAAAATGAGCTCTGTTCCCAAGGCTGTCCTTAAGGATTTGTAGGTAAGCCCGAACAGTATTATTGTATAATACTGTACAAATAGTATTATGTTGTGGACTTGAACCATTGTGTATTTAACTCAAATCACTGCATATTTAACTCACATTTTGCTACAGTGGGCTCCATTCTCAACTAGGTTGTCCGTAACCCCGGCATTCTTAACCCAGGGACTACAGAAGAGCAGTCTGCTTGCAATGCTAAGAACCAAAAGGAGTCCACGCGTGAGGTTATTCATGGCTACTCAAATGAAGGTTCTACTTTCACCTTGTGGAGGGAGACAATGTTTGTCAGGTGGGACACAAAGTCTTTGAGGTTGGCTGATGGTTTGTTCTGCTTGGTCAAATGTGGGGCTTGAGAATCTCCTCGTTTGACAATTTAAAATGCAGGCCTGATGTTTAGTTACTCAGCAGCTTGAGGTCCGGAGAGCAGAAGGAAAACATTTTCTGATCGGTCACGGCCCAGGAGGATACCTCATTCCATGCCACCCAGAATAAAGCATTATGGCAAGGGAGGGACCAACACGGCCTTGTTTATTGTCCAGACAAGAATCAGCTGCAGACACCTTCTTCCTTTCACCTTCGAAGTATGCCAGAAAACATGCTTTGCTCCAAAGACAGTTTGCCTTGCAGGTTTATAATCAGAGAAACATGTTCTAGTTTTGTCCATCACCTTTGAGACTACCACTCACTGCCAAAGCTCACTAGAGAAATGTTCTTGCATTTTTTCTCCCACCAGTTCTCATTCAGTGGAATGAAAAGAGCATTTGCTTCTGAAATGTCATCAAAGGAGAAGAGCGCATTGGAGAAAATGGTAAGGATGGAGCATACTGTTCTTGTACTTACTCCACCAAGAAGTCTCCAGTATTTCCATTAAATCCCATGGGACTTTTCAGTAATGGTGCTTCAGTCTTGCCCTTGAGATAGGGTAGAAGTTCTCCTTTTTCTGAAGAAACTTTTGCAAAAAAGAATCCAGAAGTACTATGCATTTGCATTTACAACACGTATAGCTTGCTTTGCTCTTGAGAGTCCAAAGTGGTGCATATGGAATTAATCCTTTTTTTTTACTTTACAGTTTTGTAAGGTAGGTTGGCCTTTGAAAGAATGACCACTCTAAAGTCATCCAGTGGAAATGTGTGCGTATATGAAGCTGCTTCTTACATTATTACCTGCTGGTTGTAAGCTGTCAGAATAACATGATTGAAACTGGGCTAGAAACCTACAAACACATACAATAAAAAATGGTATTAGAAGCTCCCCCCACTTTTTTTTTTCTTGGCACGTAGCCTATCTGTCAGCATAGAAAGAGGAATGCTAGAAAACTGAGTTTTGCTGGAATTTGGATTGTACACAAGGTAACACCTCTACACAGAATTACAAATCAGCAAGAAACAAGATTAAAAGGTTCTGGTTTATTTATATGGAAAGATAGCCAACCGCATACCGCAGAGGCACAATCATCTGATGGGTGGTTTCCTCTAGAGACAGTAGAAATCAAGAATGGGGAAGTTTGAAATTGAAAAGTCTAAACTGGCTTGAAGGAGAAATGTCTGAAACGTCTGTGGATTGTGACTTCTAATTCCTATTTTAAAAGCCTCTCTGGGTATTTCCCAGATATGAAGATTTTTTTTCTCACTCATTCAGAAGGAAGGAAAGAACCAAGCCAGCACCATTTATGAACTTTCTGAACGTGAAACCTGCTAAGACCCAAGCTCTTAACCTCTTCTTTTCCCTACTGGCTGCTGCACCTTAGTTTCTTCTGGAGCAGCCAGGAAGCTTTGAACAGGTGGAGGATATTTTAGAAATGTCAGGAACGGACTGAATCCTCAGAACTCTTGATGGTGCAATTCAATTTCGCACCCTATAAAGCAGGAGTTGACAACTTCCATGCGAAGGTCCAACTTGGCCAGCCGAAACCTTGCATTCTCCAACTGGGAACCTTTGAAGGAAACACACGCTGCTTAAAATAATCTGTGAACTTGATTATTGGGTGGGAAAGCGGGATACAAACAGGATCTAGGAGTGCATGTTGGAATGGGAAGAGGGGGCTGAAAATAGATGAAGGGGCCAGTCAGCAGTTGGGGGAACCTGACCCACTTCTCCCATGACAAGGATGCAACATCTCCTGTGTAGTTTTCTGTGCAAAGATTCAGTCCTAAAAGGGAAGTAGATGATGATACTTTTATCAGGACAAACACCTTGCAGGTTGCTGTATGCACTGACAGCACAACAGTAGCTTTAAGCCAAACTTTACTGAATTCTCCAGTGATGAGTTTCTAGCAAGAAAGGTTGGACTGGTTCACTTGCATTCCAGATGCAGGACGTGAAATATGGGACTGCATTTAACAGGAAGATGGATTCTTGTGGAACGTCAGAAAAAACGCTCTAATCGTAAGAGCAATTTAATAATGGAATTGATGATCCAGAGAGGAGGTGGGCTCCCTTCCTTGCATGTTTCCAAGCCAAGTCAGGATTTCCATCCACAGGAAAAACCTTAATCTGGATTC